GGTGACAACGGGCATCCTTGTCTCACACCGCTGGAGATATTGTAGGGCGACGACAGCTGGCAGTAATCCCTCACTTTGCCAGAGCTACGTGCGTATAAGGTTCGGGTAATATTTACGTATTTCTTGGGTAAATCTTTCCTGACTATAAAGTCCCAAAGTTAATGTCTATTCACCGAATCGAATACACTTTTTATGTCGACGAACACGACTACGGTGGGCCACCAATATATTTGACGGTGCGTCAACAACCGACACAAAGTGAAGGTGGTCAATGCAGCGATGACCTCGACGAAACCCGGCTTGCTCTTCACGAATCTGACTTTCCCGAGTGCAAGTCAGTCTGTGAAGGATGACAGAGGTAAGCGATTTGGATGTGATGGAGATCAGACTGATTTCTCTATGGTTGCCGCATTCCGAACGCGAGCTCCTTTGAAGATCGGAACAATAACGGAGCGACACCAGTTAGTAGGGCCAGTTTCCTGCTGCAACAGTTTCATGAGTAACCATTGTAAATCATTTAAAAGTACAGGTTATCCGAATTTGTAAAGTGCTGGAAAAGGATCATCTGTTCCCGTGGTTTTACTTAACTTCAACAGTCTACTCTCACGTTCAACTTCTAAGTGAGGGGGCGGATCCAAACGTACAGCACAAGGAGCAGCGTGATCAGTGGGCGGCGAGAAATCTGACGATTCCGGCGAAGTAAATTGCCTTTCTAAGTGGTCAGCCCAACGCTCCAAGCGTTTTGACATGTTGTGGATAGGCTGTTCACTCTCTTCACGTATAGTTTCACTAAAACTAGCCCCCGTGCTGCCTACTTCCAGTATCAGACGGAATAACTTACGATGGTTACCAAGGGCAGCGGCCATTTCCATCTCTGATGCGCGATGAGACTCCCAGGATTCGAGGTCTATCTTTAGGCTAGCACGGAATTTTTCCCAAAAATTTCTGCGAGTCTCATTGTCTTCGCTTCCAGCTGGAATGTGCCGGCAAGTCTTGATAGGTACCAGAGACTGCGAAGAGACCTAATGTCCATGTTAACGATTAGACTTACCACATGAGGATTTGTCTGCTGCTAGTAAGGTCTGGTGAACATGAGACAAGTGACCTTCAATTGTCTCCAGTAAGCGCTTACTCAACTCTCTTGTCAGCGTACTTTGATAGGCATTCAGAACAGATGGCTTCGTCACTTGGCTGGTGCCAATGCTATTACAGCATCGTCATGGGCGTCCGCCAAAACGCATCCGCATGTCAGCACATACAAGTGCATGGTCGGTGTCCACACATTTGCTCCAAACCGAGCGACAATTCTGCATGCAGCCTCTCCAGAGGTAACTAATAACAATGTGATCGATCTGCGTCTAAGGCTGGTTCGAGGTTGGTGGGTGCCAAGTCACCCTCCGGCGGGTGCCGTGTCGGAAATTAGTGCTCGCAAGAAATAAGCGAGCATCTTCACACAAATGAAGTAACCGCTCACCGTTATCATTACGGGAGCCTACACCGTGCTGACCGCCAAGATGCATTTCATCAGTGGACAACTTTCCAACTTGTGCGTTCATATCCCCCGCCAGCACAACAGTGTCCGTGCTTCTTCTGTGGCGAAGGAGCTGGGTCAGTTGGCGGTAGAAGTCGCTTTTTATCGAAGCATCGCAATAGTTTGTGAGCGCGTAGGCAGTGATGACGAATAAATACCTATTAGTCTCGCGCGACTTCGAAGCTTTGAATGAGCCAGCCAATCGGACCGCACACATCCGGCTACTGATTGGAATCCAATCAAGCAGAGCAGCTTCAGCCCGGGGACTCAGGGCAATGCCATCATCAGCTTGGCCGGTGCTCGAGGCTGCATCGTCACCGGATAGGCTCAATGAGAGTGCTGCTTGTGTCACCTGAAGGGGATCACAAAGTGAGTACAGAGCTCGAGTCTTGCAGCCGGGTTTCCGTTAGGCAGTAGATAGCGATCGAGAGGGTAGCTAATGTTCGGGCAAGTGCTGCCTATTGACCCATCTGTAGCAGTGTGGGTACATAAAGGAATGCCAATCTGAAGGAGGATCGAGGACTCTAAATGGAAGCCGATGAACTGGAGTGGACCGTTTGGTTGGACGTGGGCTTGTCGATAGGGCAGGAATGACGCTCCGCCTTCACATGTGAGTTGAAACTAGAAGGTAAAGGCCTATCAAAGCAAACTGGGGAGGTCCATGAATTGGAGGTTGAAAATAAGGGGATACGAGTGAAGCTGGAACGGGACGGTAAGAGTGAAAAAGCGTAAGAGGGGAAATAAGAAGACGGGAAGGCTTGAGCAGCAGCATCCTAACCCTGATCCACCATGCTCCATGCAGCAGATAGGGCACCGTTGATTAATCTCTGTGGTGACCAGAGCATCAGGAAATTGTTTGACAAAAGCTTGCTGGTATTGCGTGGGTAGGATACTGTCAGATTGCCCAGGCCTAGACAGAAGATCGATGAGGGTTCACAATAAAAGCTTTTGGTTCCTAAACTTGACCGCAAGACAGCGGGTTTGGCTTTGGACTATAAAACGTCCGTTTTAAGGAATAAGGAGCCGCCCACCTTCCAAGCGCCAAACTGGACGACCAGAGGCCGAATTTCCTGGCTTGTAATTATTGACCAATGTGGTATGAGTGGCTCTGAAGGTGCAAAAAAGCCCCACCCAGCAAAGCTCAATGGATCGCTGAGATACGCAAACCATGGTACCACGCTAAGGTCGAGCCTCACTGAATGCTCAAGGCGGCACGATGTTATGGACTCGGAAACGGAGGAGGATTGCCAAGGATATGGCGTTGAACAAACGTGGAATAAGGTAACCGAACGGTGGTGCGGTAGAGCGCGAGTTCTGTTCGGCCGCTAGCACCTCGGCCGACGAAAGCGTTGGCAGGAGCAGAGAGAGAGATAGCAGGAAGTCGTCGAAGCACTGGTCCTTATGTTGTGTGCGCATGGTACTTCCCGGTTGACCTGGCCGCGAAAGAGGCTTGATTTAGTGGGACTCAACTGGTAGCTTTCGGTTTAAAGACCTGACCCGCAGGGCAGCATGGCGATTGACATATACCACGAACCGTTGGGAGCTGGCTACCACGATGATGATAGCACGGCTTTAGAGCAGGAACAAACTGCTCAGTCTGCCAAAGAAGCCCGAACGAGGCAGCACGAAAATCAGGAGATTTCTTAGACCAACGTACTCACTGTAAAGCATGTAGGCAGTTGACAATCAGGTGGCTCATACGCTTTCAAAGAAGCCTGTGGTCATCGAGTTGGTTCATCCGCCCTCAGCTGAATACTCACTTCTGCTCGTAGAAAAGCATGGTCAGTGACACCACAGCCAGTCACATTCGCTTTGACACAGCATCTTACGAGCTCTTCTGGTATTTAATGAGGAACGAAGTGACCAGCCCAGAACTCCCCACGCTCTGAGACGCTGCCGCTGATTGTCCGCGACTGCTTATTCATTTCGCCTGCGAAAAGCCGAGACTTATTCACATTTACCTTCACACGGAAGACGTTCTCAGATCCGCAACCTGGGGACGCGCCCGGTGGCGTACAGCTCCGCCGAACCAGCAAGTGGTCCGTTTACTTCCGGGTGTTCATCCACCAGTATTATTCTTAACGTGAAATGCATACGGTCGACTTTATCTTGATCAATCCAATCATCCACGGTAGCCTTGCTGGCAGCATGAACTTTGTACACTACATACGCCCCAGCGACTGGCCGAAACAAACTAAAGACCTGAGCTGCCTTACATACGGTAGACGTTGGGTGCACTTTTGAGGTTCATTTAACGATAGTGGCCGCATGCCAACATACCAGATCTCAGATGGTATCATTCATATTCCGCGCAAATTGTCAAAATGCGATCCCCGGCTGAAGCCGACTGAGTGGCACAAATTCTAAGACCGCCGATACTTTGGTCTTATCAGTCATGGAAACGCCCCTCCTCCATACAGAAGCGTCACAAGGGGGTGCGGAGGTTGATGACCGCACCGAGTTACACCATTACATAGGATGATTAGAAAATGCAAGATAATACTGTCGATGATTCCAGGTCTAATATTTCAGAAGAAAACGGTTAGTATGTCAATAAGATTCCTAATGCTTTTACCCAAAAATCCCTATAAAAGGCACGGAGTTGAGTCGGCAAAATGTAACTGCCAATCCAAGTAGCGGCGGTGAATTCCATTAGAAACCGACAGACAAAGGAACCTGATCTTGTTTCCGTTATTTCAGCATGGTATTTGAAGCTTCAATATTGTGATAATAGACGTCCATTTGTCTAGTACAATAGAATAATAAGTGTATGTCTACATTAACAACGTTAACAATGTTATCTTATTGATCATTTTGACGGCATACGGTAACAAATTGCAGACACATTGACAATCCGGTTTATAATAAAATATTAGTAAGTACATTTGTCAGTCCCAAATAAATAGAGGAGTTTTAGTTGTGGTCGAAACTCAGCCCGAAAGTGCACATAAATGCGACATCCGAAGAGTACTTACATTGCGCTGGCACAAACAACTAACGCCGAAAGTATTGTCTTGATAGACATGGAGAAGCAAAGTTGGAGAGATATCTTGCACAGGTTGCGCGATATCACAGTGTTTGTCGCCAAACAGAACCTGGCATTCCGGGAGCACAATAAAGATGAGTCTTCTCATTTGTCACTGGCGGACTGGTGTAAGGCATGAGTAGCTGACGTCAACCTTAGTGAAGACTCTGTCCCAATGTTCACTGGCTAGGTGAAGAGTAGCTGCGGTACGTATGAACAATTGCAATTGGCGTCTTCTTCGAAAATTGTCAGTCAAACAGCCATGTGGAAACCGATAGGTAAGTGTGGGTACCGGCTGGTAGTCTATGCCAAACGGTAGTCTAGATCTCAGGTGGAAAATAACTCCGCAATCTTTCGTTTGCAATTCCATGCGGACACATAAAATGTTAATCGCTCAGTGCTTTGTTCATAACACGTCACCTTTTTATTTTACTTCGATTGCAGGTAGCCTACTATGCTTTGTATGGTCGTCCAGTCACTAAGTCCAAGAAGATAGTTCAGGAAGTGGATGACAAGCTTCATGGAACGATCACCATGGTAAGTGCCAAACTAACCAACCGGCACCAACCACTGAATATCAGCAATACAAAAATTAAAAACCTCATCCAGCGAAACACCGAGAACTATGGACAGTAGTATGAGTTGGGGATCACAAAACTATGCCCAAACACAAAATGAACCCTGAAAGAACGAGAAGGAAATCTTTAGCATGTGTTTACAGTGGCCGAATAATGGTCCTCCGTTCCCCATGCCAGTTCTGAGGTCTTCAACGGTCTAACCCAGGGGTCACCAAACTTTTTACACGGCGGGCAGGATGACTAGAGAGCATGACTAGTACAGGTCGTATAAAGGGGAAACAATACTAGCGTGGACAGAATAATTGACAAAGGGGTTAGCGTGGACCGTGTAATAATAAACTCTATACTTGCCAGTCAGAACAAAATTACTGTGAAAAAAGGCGAAGAAAATGTGACCGCGGAGCCCAGTCGTTTCATTTTTTAATGTTTTCACCCCAGCAGCTCACAAGCTGCACAGCTCAGCCATTATCCGGAAAAGCACCAGACGCGTTTCGCCCTATTGAGGCTTATCAGTCATAACGAAGAGTGAGGCCTAAAAGAAAAAGACGTGTACCCAACTGTCGCATTTTCTTCGTCTTTTTTTCAGATTTTTGTACTCATACTGAAGGGTGTGCCTCATGCTGAAGTTGATGTTGCATACATCACGTTTCTTCACCACAGTTGGGCTACACCGACGTAAACTTTGACACGATCTTCTTAACCTGGATAAAAGTATTCCCCTTTACTTGCTTTGCTCAGTTCTCTTATTCTACTGCATATTCCGTGTTGTTTTGTGCATTCAGTTTCCTCCCTAGCTGTGTTGCTTATTTGATATCTTCGGTGTAGCTGCGCTTGACATGAAGGTTGACAAGGTGCCTACCCGTCTAACACCCTTCACCTCGATTGCCGGCTCCAGGAGGCTGTGAATCGTTACTGGAGGATGGGTGCACGGTCCTGATGGTCCTGTTAGGTTCAGAGATTGGTTTCATCCAGTATGGAGCGGACTACGGACAAGCCACCGCCTTGTACACTTCTGGTACGCATAATTCCCAATCTAGGTGAACAGGAATGCTGCTGTTATGCATATTGAAGGACTGTGGGCCGGCTCCGTTGATGAAACGTAGCTCCTATCCACAAGCCTCCCGGTCTTATTCCTTTAGGTTTACACTGGATATGGGGTGTGTTCATGGAGCTGTGGGTGATGCAGTGCAAGCCACCCATTATCCCTGTGTAGGCGCAGGCTTCCTGTGGCTGTCTAATGGAGGTCACAGGGGCAAGCAAAACAGGAACCGGATGATGTTAACCATAATGAAGGGTGAATGGGATATGTACAAGAAAATAAGGCTGAAGCACAAACACAGCAAAATTTTAATTATACTCCGGAAACATAGGGTATTGAAAGTCATTTATAGTGTTACAACTCATTAGAAGTACGCGTAAAGTTACCTGGTAACTTCGGTAATAGAATAGTTAAAATAATAGTGTGTATACTAAATATTTGTATATAGATAAGCGGGAACGTAAGTGGAAGTCTTGGTCAACGTATTTCCAGCCGAGCGAAAACAATGCACTTTTCTCGAAGTGGACGTTGGCACCGCACATGCGTTTAATAATACTAAAATATATGAATCTCAACAATTGTTACTTCCAGTGCACTTCCACACAAACAATGCGGACCGCGATTCCCATTGAATTGGACCTTGGTCTTTCGATCACTAGGACCGCAGCTGACGCAGATGGAACTTAGGTGTTATCATCCAAATATACTGCACTCCATGACGCTTTTCGACTTCATTTGATCACATCAGATAGAAGCAGCAGGCATTGAACTCGGGACCAGTGAGATTTTAGTTGTGGCCGCTGACCCTAAGACACCGGGCCACGCCACGCAATGCTTGGCCCAACCCGTAATGACTGATTGGAGGGTTATTTTAAAATACACTTTTTGTGAACGGATTGTGACCCGCAATCGCAATGTAAATTGTGATTGATTGCTATTGAAGCGAACCCTGATCATTCGATCACTAGGACCGCAGCTGAAGCAGATGTAACTTGGGTGTTGCCCGCAACGGAAACACATGCATTCACGCAACGTGTAATTCAAAAATGACCCTCCAGTCAGTCATTAGCCGTTGCACCAAGCGTTTCCCGTCGTGACCCGGTGGCTTAGGGTTAGCGGCTACAACTGACATCCCAGGGTTCGATGACTACCATCACTATCCGGTGCGAGTAAACAAGGTCGAAACGCGTCGTGGGGTGCAGCCTTTGCGGGCTGAGACGCCCAATTTCCATCTGCTCCATCGCAACAAGTTTCAATTCTATCCAAGCAGCTAACAAATATCGCTTCAATATAATATCTGCATATACTAAGGATGTATTCATAAGCGTCAATTTGTACAGTATTTGCTTCAAGGAAGTTGACCAATTAAAAGTTGTGCAAACCTATGAGGTAATCAGAAATACGGCAGGTTACACGCGTGAATTGATATCCTGCGTCATCGCGTGTATCAATTTTTCAATGCTATGTGGTTACGGTACAACATGTAACGACCATGAGATGGCTCCCGCTGGTGTTCAAACAGTATAACGTCAAGGACAACACGACATGTATTGTTAAATGCAGGTTGTCTCACAGCAGCTCGTGTTCCATACGCCTTACCAAGCAAATTCGAGTAAAATCGGCGAGCTGGAGGATCCGATGTCGGGGGCCGGATTCGGCTCTGGCCCTCACTACTGGAGACATACAACAAACGTATTTGAATTGTGGCCCGAGTATTCAACAGGGAGTGAAATAAGGGCTCGTTGGTCATCCAAAGACTGGCACATATAAAATATCGATCGAAAGACATGACTGATTGCATTGGTGTTACATCAAACTGAAACAAGAATTCACTTAACGAACTCTGCGGAAGCATCGTACTAATGGATATTTTCCTTATTCATATTGTGCAGTTTCTGCCGGAAATTTCACTTTCAGAATTCAACGGTTTAATGAAAACTGTAACTTCCAGTCAAGTTAGGCAACCCTTCCCATGCTAACTGTTGACATTTGCCAAGACAGATCAGTTATTTTTGAGCCATCGGGGTGATAACCAAGTGACAACTGTCACATTGAACGTGGACTCATTGTGGACTCAGATGAAGGCATATCAGAATTGATACATGCAAGAAATCGATTCAAGGTTTACACACACGACCCTGTTAAGTCACTAACCTACAAAAAGGGCACAGAGTATCTTACTGACATAATTATGCCAGACGCTAGATTGAAAAGACAATGAGGACAAAAATACTAGCCGCCACTTTTTCTCATTCTCTCACGTGATGCAGTGCAGTTAGTGTTTGCTTTTAAGTGACTCAAGCTACATGCTGATAACCTAGTTAACGATATTGCAATTTATAGCACCTTGAGATAAATAGAAGGAACGGTGCCTGTTACTTTTGATAATGAAGTTCGTACTAGGGTATATGTGTTGATAAACATGCTTTCGCTGCTTTTCAGCAGTCTGTCTATACATTTCCCTGGTTTGACTGAGCTTGTAGAAAATCCTAACTAATATCCTTATCTCATTGGCATCATCATCATCATCATACACGTTAGCTAGAGTTGGTGAACACCACAGCTACTGTGCCGCAATCTTGTCTCATTGTACACTTAGGCGACTAGTGCAAAACACCGACTGCAATTTGAACTTGCTTTTCTGAATCGCGAGCACTTCACACGCACTGCGCCCTGGTTGGATGCCTCAGGCGCTCCAAGAGCTGCGCTGTTGTCCTTACCTGATGGTCCTCGATCCGACCGACGTCATGTCGCTAGCCTATATACGGGTTCACAGTACTACACCAAGAAAAAGAATCGTCCCAGAACCTATTTACCTTCTCTTCCTCTCACGGTAGCGTAGTCGATGGTAGCTAGAAGCGTACGACAAGCTTATTTGTGTGGGCCAGTCTCTTCGCTAAATCTTCAAACTCAAGTTTTTATGGGTATTTACTAGTCAGAATTAGCATATAGAATACACAAGATGGTTTCCACCGATAGCTACCCTTATTTTGGTCATCTAGACACACACTGCCTGATGTGTCTACCGCTGAGGCTGTGGAACACTTCTCAGGCACGTCATTTTCCTTTGCCGCCACGAAGTCCAAACTACGCATTGACCAACCGAAGGCTAAGATAATTTGCCAAGAGGTATTTATTCTCAGGTATTCATAAGACACACGTGTATCACCTTCGAAATGGGTTTCAATAAATACAACCACCCATTAGAGAGCGGGAAAACTAATGGAGAAAATTTAAATTACCCAGGAAAAAATTTCAGTCTATTAATCTATTGTGAGATCTGTCATTTTTCCGATTTCCCAGACTCCTGTGGTTCGAGGTCTTTGCATTTTGCATGCATTCGACTTGGCGCCTGACGTGGAATATACCTTCGCAGTGTCAGCCTACGATGCTTACGCCCAACCCCTTGGCACACATCGCTGCGGACTGGGAAAATCTACACAGCCAATATTGACAGCACCTATGCAGTCCACGTTGGTTGCCATAGCGCATCTAGCTCAGGTCAGTTACCGTTTTTGAGCTATGCACGGTATACCAAGTAATGGAGATAAGCTGACTCTTTGATCTAAATGGTAAGACGGAATGGTTTGGTTGCCTTCGGAACTACAGTGAAGGAGAAGAAATATGATGTGTCACCGGATTTCGGCACATAATTGGCGACTCAGAAAACATCCGTAGGTAAATAGTGCTGTAATAATTCTCCAGTTGCACACTGACGTTAAGGCCGTCCAACCACTCCATTTTTCAGAACTGCGGACGCTACCGTTTTGTAGTCTCTTCGTTCGCCATGAAGTCGCCGATGCCATATGCTCTATTGCGGTACTCGCCAGTTAACACCAGAAGAAGCAAGTCTGTTGACGTTGTTCATACTCCCACAATAAAGTGTTGTTCAGGCGCACGAGTGACTCACGGTCTGGGTCAGCCATTGTGAAGACGTGAATATCACCATCCGCCGTTTCCCTATTCGACTACAAAGGTTTCTACATCTCTGGTGTCGAGATCCATTCACCAAAAATACGACCCAGATTTGTGCGCAAAATCATCTATTCTACTTTCTAGTGGCGGGTGTTCCAAGCGTTCATTGTGTGTGAACATGTGTGTGATAAACGTTTCAGGCAGTGAGAGTTCTTCTACTCCAAGGTACCACATGCAAGGGCTTCAGATAAATTCAAATAATTGATGGGAATAACGCTAGCGTAATTGCATTCCATGTCTGGTTTGTGCACAAGGTAGTTAACACATCCATGATGAAGATGATGACCCACTTCAAGCAACGATTTAGACATCTTTCACTGTGTACATTAGACCCTTGAAGTTCTAGACAAATATTTTATTCTAAATAAGACAATAAGAAGACTGGTATTGCGAGATGGAACCAGTTCGTGTTATCTGCTCACTCGCAAACTAACAACATATATATGAATCACGTGACAGAAAAATCGAAGATTTGAAACTGGTCACAAGGGAAAATTACGTAGACGCAAGAATGACAGATCAGCATCTTGATCTTAGGGTCATGAGCCCCAAAGCAGCTTCAGGGAGACTGGTAATTGTTTTTGTACACACAGGATAGGGCGATGCCGGTTAAGTACCACCGCTTCGGCAAACCTCAACACTTTGGGGTTGTCATTCCGATAGATAACTGTAAATGTTGACCTAGGGTCAACCTGATGGCCTGATTCTAGTAGGTGTCTGGCGATCGATGAGGCCGGCAGCTTAGATATCTTTTCTCGTTCGGCTGCTTGTTGTGTCGATAGTTTGGCAATCCGTTTTGGGATATGCTCTCCACTGCGCTTACCCAAGGATCGATCCGTTCTGCCAATGTAACGACTACCTCAGTTACAAACGAATTGGTAAATGCAATGGGTTGTGGCGGAGATCGGTTGAGTAGGCTTCACTGGAGGCAAAGGCAAGTTCCTGGTCTTTTTTTATTTCTCCTCATACACGTGAAGCACGAATGTGATTTGACATGTGAGGAACGATCGTCCTCTCCAGTAACCCATAGATTTTGTGCATATTTCAGACTGCATTCCGACGAAATGTTCTCTCGGTAGCAAGAAGAGCTTTTCAGGTCTTGTGGGAAAACTTTGTCGAAACACAAATGTTTGAGCCATCCACAAAGATTCCGGAGCCATCGGTGATAATTCCACTCAAAGTATATAAGTAGGTCAATCGATTGCCTGTTACTTCGATGTTCTTATAGATTACGTTTATCGGGGAACGAGAAGGTGGCTCCAAGAATCGCCCTGAGATATTTCGTACGTTGTCTTCTCCTTGATGCGACCTTTTTCGTGAACCAGTTTCATCCGTCGAATTTAACGGAGACATTCAGAGAGAATTTGGAACACCAGGTTAGTTATGGAAATATGGTAACAAAAGCCTTCAATTGATCGCACCCGGTCCAACGGCCATGCCTGCCTTAGTATTAGCATTTGTTTTTTCTTCTTAAAGACACAAGGCGGTAACAGGAATTTCTTTCGCACATGCTGAGGTATGATATTGGTCCAAGTGTACACATTCCCCACACCGGAATGGTTCGGCCGCAAACAACGGCTATGTCAATACACGTGTGATTCTCCAGGTCAATTTAACGCGTACGACATTACAACTGAATAGCTACAAAATGTTCTTAACTAGCACGTATTAATTGTTTGGTAGACCAATTAGCGGAATGACCCTGATTCCCCGACTCATGTTTTGCGGGTGGTCAGCTTACGCTAATAAGTTTACCGCAATCGTCTGGCTTTTGGCTAGTATCGTTCCCGATAGTTGATTGCATGGGCGTGACTGGACGTATGTCTATTAGTGGGACATCCAGTAGTCCCGTGTTTTGGCTAAAAGTGATACATCCTCACGACTCGTGCTACCTAGGAAAGCGTGATGGATACCGCGCGATGGAGCGGTGTGTAATATTCCTCCGGTTTGGGGTTTTGGGTACATCCGTAATTGAGACGCAGCGTAGGTCGGACCAGACCTGATGATCTGGAATGGAAAGCAGAGAGAACGTAGGTGGCCAGAGATCAAACCCCATCCACATAGTAAGAACTAATATCGACAAGCGAGGTATCGAGTACATGCTGATAAGCAGACACCAGGAGGTAGCCGAGTGGCGGAAACATTCAAGCGCAGAATAAAGCGTCCTCAGTCAAGGTCACGAGGACAAGAAAGGCGGGGGTTCCTAGGGAGGTTAAAACAACGGCACGCAGGTTTCCGGCGTTGTGAATCCAACCGTCGCGCCGTGTGTGTCTGTGCTGATCACGGATCAGACAAACAGATTAAACATATATTTCAACATTCTGCATCGAACACCTAAGTGATAATAATATGATTTTAGTTATATTTTACCTAACAGACGTAGACAAAGCGATGGAATCTTCAGACAGCTACATATGTACACAGAAACTCATATTCAGGAGTAGGAGACAGATGGTGTAATAGTTTATGACGAGTATGAAAGCGAATGCTTGATACGTCCTATAAGATGCTTAGGATGAAAAAGAAAAAAAATATATAAAATCGGTGGGATTAGAAGAAGGTTGGAAACACATGACTCATCAAGGGGTTGGGAGTAGCACATGTGTGAGTATTCCTGGCTGGAGTTCAGGAGGGTTATGGTATCGTCCACTGTTTCTTGTGCACTAATGCCACCATCTGGTAGTCACGGGCCATATCACGTAGTGTAAATGTGTCAGGGTATCATCAAGGCGTTTTTCGCTAAGGGATAAGGTGGGGGCATTAATTACCTGCGCTGGAATGACGTTCCAAAGCTATGACACTCGGTGAGAGAAATGGTTTCCTCGATATACCAGTCGGTTGTGCTGCGTGGCAAGCTTAAACTGATGACCCATTAGAGATGTATTTTGACTGTTTCAAAGCAGAGTGGCAAGTGTGGTTGGGATTTCTTAGGACCTGATACATCCTTACGAGATCGCCCCTTTGATGCCGACAACGTTCGCTGAAGATGTTGAGATAGTTTAGCCTGAGTGCGTGGGGAAACCCGGACAAACAGTTGACGTTCAGTGTTACCATGCGTTGTGTAGTATCGTGCGCGGTGAGTTGATGCTTCTGCCAGCGTTGCAATGCTTGGATAGTGTATTTTGCATGCTGCTGTAAGTACGCGCCAAGCATTTTTGGAACCATTGAGGTGTCAAACTTCCCGAAAGCTCTAGAAGAAGTCCGAAATACCGGTTCGCTTTCTTTGACGTCTTTTCAGTCTACCTCTAACACCCAATGTCCTGTTGCACGAACACGCCAAGATCTCAGTCATGAGAAGTCCGCTGTAGAATTTGTGGCCGTAGACGGTGGTTGCCAGTACTCGGATGGCTTATACTTATAATTTTTCACTTGCTGCCGTTGAACTGCAGCATGGTCTCGATGGACGATGAATAAGCTTTGTCCAGGTCATCCTGAGGTGCTGTGGGATTCTCCACTGAAGCGATAGCACGCCATATCTTTAGGTCATCGGCAAATAGTAGATAGTTTAAGGAAAGCACGCTTTCGAGATCGTTTATGAAGACCAGGCGGGCCCCGAGTACCGAGCCCTGAAGTACTTCGCACTGAACCTCGATTGGTTCCGACAGGGTGCTGTAAACCCTCACATTCAGGTGACCTTGAACGAGAAAGTCGCCTATCCAGCCCAGTAAGGGATCGCTGATACAAATATTCTGGAGTTTGCGCAGTAGAATGCGATGGTCCAGGCATTCGAATGTCTCTGAGAAATCCAGATAGGCTGGATCTACTCCTATACCAGCATCCACAGATTCCGTCCAGCTTGCAAGGGCTATCAACAGATTAGTAGTACAGGACCGACTTTGGCGAAATCCGTGCTGCTCCGGGACAGGGATTTTGCTACTCTCCAGGTAGTCTATGATATACCGTCCCATTGGGTGAATTCCTCGCAGCTGCAAATTCTTAACAAGACTGAGCGGTTTCGCTTCCTAACACTATTTGTCAGCTCCTTGTTAGTGCTGTAAAGTATAACGGTTTAAAGTGTGCAGGCAACTTGCAGACATGAGCTCCATCGCATTAGGTTGTACACCTATGTGGGCAGGGATTAGGAATGTAACTATAACATCGTGACTGGTTTTGATAGGTACCAACCACTTAAAAACATTATACGCTGCATAAACTAGGAGACGATCTGGTAATCGCCTCGTTTTATGTTCTTTTCTTATGTAACCAACCCTTGCATAGACATTGAGGATTGACCTCAGTCAACGTCTGCTCGTCGGAATGGAGCTGGCAGCCACGCTTGAAGAGGACGATGTGCTCGTCGGGATGGCCAAAATAATTGACATTCTGATAGCGCCCTTGATGGAGAACAACATCTGCATACCAGTTATGGCAAAGGTAGGTATGCCCTACGGTTCGAGCGGTTAGCACGACAATTCCGTCATCGCAACATGAGAATGTTGAAATACATAGATTCCAAAGGTTTCTTTAAAAACCGGTAGATACCCCGAAATACGTTATACTGCATTACAGCTTCAATATCAATCCTTTTCCTGCTGTAATTAGTCAATTGCTTTTAAAAGGCAAAGCAATGTGAGACTTCCAAGTGCCAATGAATAGTCGGGCTGAGTATTGAAAGTGAGTGTATGAGTATTAGATATAATGCTACTCGCTAATGTCATCCTATATTATTCATATGCAATTTCTTTCCAGAACACCTTACAATGTTTTGAAAATTGTACGATGTATGCAACAACTTGTAGACGAAAACAGTGTTGATCAGATGGACGCTTTGAGGTTAGTAGGACCGTTGAGCAAATTATTTCCGTAGCTTTCGAAAAATCTCGGGCACCCAGGAAAGGTCCCTTCCGTTTGTAGTCATGACAAGTAACTAGCAACAGATAGGTTGGATCGTCACCATGAAATCGCCAAATGGTCATCCGTGGAGCCGTTTAAACACTCTAAGTGCTGTCTGTTTTTGTTGGTGTGTTACAGTCAGCGAAATTGCTGGGTGCAACGTAAATTGTATATGGTAGCACTGTGTCGGTAGAGGCACAGGACGGAAACGTCAGGGTGAAGTATGGATGAACAATGCGTCCGAACGCGCACGCGTTGCCACAAAACCAGACAGCGCACAGTAATCTAACCAACCAGATGTAAGGGCATACGACTATTACAATGAATGTGGTGTTAGCGAATCGATCACTGTAGTGAGTCAACATAGTGACAGGAAATACAGTGAAAGTGACATGGCAGTTAGCAAGTTTGACAGCGTGACAAAAACCTCAATGGTCCATCTACCGAGCAAATGACAGTGGCTCGAATCTCGCACTATAGTCCACACACTCCAACCTCGGGGTACTACAAAATAGTGCTTGACCAAATGTTCGCACACGTGGCATTTTGAAATCGGTGGTCCACTATGTGGTTCGCAGGTTGCGTTCAGCGAGGTCGCAGTCTTCGAAGATGTCCCACCCCGTGTAATTTCCAGCACATCGGGGTCAAACTCCACAAAGAAAGCTCTGCTAAATTTTAATTAATGTAGGACTGTTAGTCGGGAATTTTCCAAAACCAAATGCGAAGACGAACATTCTTGTCTAGCAATAAAAGGCAAATTTCTGTTTATTTGAATAAGGAAGTGACGTATTCTAATTGGACGTAGAAATGATGGTGAATGGTGGAGTCACCGAATTCATTAGCCAGCAAGCAGAGTACATAAGGCTTCGAAAACGATGTTGTGCGCGAGTGGTCTGCTTGCGTCTTACTGATGTCCATTAATGTTTCCGTCTCTCTGTGACAATAGGTAAACGAAAGGAGTAGAACGAGCAAAGTAAAACGACGGTAATGTTACAAAAGAAACATGAGAATGTTGTTCAGCTGACAAAAAACAAGTTTGAATCTGGGCGAGCGAATGCGACTCAGACGGAGAGATTATTATTATTATTATTAAAATTAATATTATTATTATTCAACACTTGGCCAATGTAGAATTGGCTGTCACAACACATAGTTAACAACAACAACAAGGGGGAAAACGGGGAGTCATTGAAAGGATTTGGAAATTTTAGAAGGTTAACGTGTTGTGTGGGCCGAGATCTTCCTGGTTGCCCAGGCCGAGGAAGTGGGTTGACGTAAGGGACCCTACCAAGAGCCTTTGGTCTTAAGACCTAACCCGCAAGGCAGCGGGGCGATTAACGAAGACCGTTGACATTCGGATGGCTCCTTCGCCTTCCTTGTGTTCAGTAGCAGTCCACAGAGAAGCCGGTGGCCAGCAAGGTTGTTCGTCCGCTCTCTGTTATAGACTCACCTCTGATTAGAGGTGAGTGATCAGTGACCCTATAGCCGGTCACATTGGCTTGGACGCAGCGCAGTACGAGCTATCGTAGCAAATGATGGGGAACCAGGTGACCAGTCCAGAACTCCCCACCCTCTGAGACACTGCCGCTGATTGCCTGCGACTGCTTATTCATTTCGCCCGCGAGGCAAACGAGACTTATTCGCAGTTGCGTGCACAAGGAGGGCATTCCACAATCCTCAACCTGGGGACGCGCCCGATAGCGTACAGCTCCGCCACAGAGTAGGGGGGAGGAGAATATTATCACAGTCACCTACAACTAAGAGTGTAATAACAATTCAGTTTTAAGTAAACATGATGTGACGCTCACGTTGACAGTTTCCAAACGCGCGCTAGATGTTTGTTAAACACAATTCATGGTCAGATCGTGAGCAATTACACAGTGAGTGCACTTGCCTAGTGCCTTCTCCACGCACTGTCGCTTCTTCATCGTAGTTGGGCTAAACCAACTTACACTTAAACTAGGTCTTATTAAGCTGGATACATTTCATTCCACCTTATTTAGTTTGTTCTGCCTACCTGAATAATCCGCTATTAACTTGCACTCGTTGTCTACGCTAATTGTGGATATCTGCTTTAAATTTATCGCGCTTGTGGCATTTTGAATAAGTTGTGGACCATTTGTTTTTATTGCGGATTCGTTGCTAAACAACATACTTCATATGTCAATTTAGCGAAGAGTTATGTCGGCAAAGATGTATGCTTTAACAGAGTTATTTTCTTTGCTAATGTCATTTCAAGTGATTGGCTGTTGTTTGACAGCCCCGGTGTGGCTGCGCTTGCTGCGTGTGTTGACGAGGTACCTACCTGTCTGTTACCCACTACCTCGTCCATACTGCCTCCAGGAGACAATTGATCGTTGCTGGAGGGGACGGGGTGCACGGTCCTTGTGGCCGTTGTAGGCTGGAAGAGCGGTTCCATGCACTCAGTGTGGAGCAGACTACGGTCCAGCCACGGCCTTATATGTGATTGATTCCCCAAATACAGCGTGTTTGTGTTTGTCTGTGAAGGAGTGTGGGCCGGCTCCGTTGATGAAACGTGGCTCCCGTCCACATGCTTCTCTGTCTTATTCCTTCGGGTTTACACTGGATATGTGGATGGAGTTGTGGGTGGTGCAGCGCAAGCCACCCATGGCCCCTCTGCAGGTGCAGTCGCCCTGTGGCTACCCACAGTGACAGGCAAATCCGAAACTGGATGCCGCCAACCATGTGTTTACCCTTCGTGTGAAAACTGATTTGCAGCAAATCAGCCGCGTCACATGAACCGACATAAGAAGTTGACCTAACAAGCCTCACTATGAATGTAATCCGGCGCAAGGTATCTCCGATGAAGTGGAGCAAGATACCAGGCTTAGACGACCTAACAGCACCGCTGCCGAGGGATGATGATCCCCCACTGGGGACTACATTATCTGGCCCTTTTGAGATTTGTTAGCGTGAAGAGTAGTTGCTCTCCGAACAGTTGCTGTCAATTATTAATGACACCGACAAAAGCGCCAAATGTCCTCCCGTGAGAATCAGCACGGTGTCTGCGTGATCACAGTTTCCTCAAAACTAGTCTTGTGCCTCATGATGCTGGAGATAACTGATATTTGTGTGAGACAAACTAGTAAAAACTAAGCCGGGGTTTAACTCGGTGGTGGATAACTTGGCAACACTCTTACTCTACGATTGGTGCATCAAAATAATCATAACCATAAAAAGCACAGCATATTAGTCTTCATAGTTTTGAAAGTTTTTCTTATCTCATTTTGTTACTGATGTGTTTCTGAACAATTCGCCCAAAAATTCCCTTCTGCTTTTAAGTCGCCGTATGGACCCTTGTGTTAGAGTCTACGGAAACTCAGCTTCGCTTTCGCTATGACAAATGTATCGTAGGGTGGATATACTGTCTCTCTATTTCATATCAATCTGGGGTCGGAGTTATACCGTCGACCGCAGTTAAAAATAACAGAACGCGGACGAAATAGATCTCTTTGGCTCTGACACAACTACTAGGTCAGTTCAACCCAGGCGATTGACGCGTAGAACTGCGCACAATCGCGCGTGATTTGCACCTTAAAATCGCAAAGTACTGATTCGTAATCCCTGAGATGACATCAGAATCAAAAGCGTCACACTCTGAACAAGCGAGACACCGTTGTTTCTCGGATTGATGACCTTGACTGCAAGCGTTGTAGCTACTCCGACGCACTGAGTGAATTGGACTATGCGGAATACAAACAGTTCAAATCATTCGTTCAGCGAATTATGGCTCGGCAAGTGGAAGTGCGAATAGCCTCATTAGGGCGACAGTTCGCTTCAATAAGGCAGAGTAACTCGTTTCCACCGGACCCTGAGAAGTATGTACACAATTTTTCCTCTTTGCAATTAGATAGAACACAAATGGAGGTCCTCTCACTAGGCCCGAAATTCTGTTACCCCCGAGGTAATGTACAACAGTTAGACTTGGAAGTCCAATTTGAAAATCTCTATTCTCAAGTTTCTACCTTAACACCATCATCAGCATTAGCAGCCGAACAGCATAAATCCACATTGGTAAACACCAGTACTTGAGGTACAAACTGACTATCAAATATCTTCTAAAGAACAGGCATTTGGACAGCGTGGCTCTACACTGGTATCAAAAAGACAGTAGTCAGCGCGGTGCTGGGGCATTTGGCCGACACAAATCACCAAGTGAATGGGCGGGAGGCCTTCCGACCCATCCACACGATATCTGGACGCCACACGCTAGCCGTCCGATGTCGCCTATTGGCGACAGCTAAAACAATCGCTATTCGGCTCCATAAGCCTGACTTATGGGCTCAAAAGATGTCTGTACAGGCTCTACAGCTGCCATGGCCACAAGCTTCCCCATGTTTTGCCACCACGCTTGCCCGTTCCACTAATGATGCCCAAGCCAGTGTGGTCAGTTGAGCACATTAACCGGTCAATTAACTTGGTTAATTCATCGTATTTAAATACACTGTGTTTGTTTTATTCCTATTATCTGTGGTGTATTGACCTGATGCGAACAACCGAAAACAAGCTTGTTCGCCTAACTGTCTTTTGATACTGATTCGTAGCTAGGCCGGTTCATCTCCAATTCTCCCTAACACGGGACGGCGACTCCAAGTTGTCGATCGGTTTATCTATCTGGGTAACTGCACTATTTCAGGCATTAATATCACAGGCGGGGTTAATGGACGCATTGATAAGATTCGTGTGGCTTTTCAGAGCCTCAGCCACCTGTGGAGATAGGAGAAGGAAAGCTTACTGTTGAAGAGAAGTGGTTGCAACGCTGCAGTGTGGCTAGTACCACCGTGGGGTTCGAGGCCTAATCGTGGTGCCTTAAGGATATTATAAGACCAACCACAGTTTACGATGGATGTTTGCGACGTGTTGGCACTATCTGATGGGACAGCCGAATGAGTACTACTGAACTTCGTCATTTAGTGCTTGGTAAATAAACCGGCGGTGACCCAGTGATGTACCAGTCCTCTTTGTTGGTTAGGTTGTCAACCGCGCGGACGTAAAAAAAATCTGGTCTCGTACTTTAATCGAATTTACTGACACACCACTCATAACAAACATGTGTGTTTACCCTCATTTGATCCAACTTCATTAACGCTATTTAGTGCACTCCATCTCTCGGATCTCACTTGTGTAGATCATCTGTAATTATAACATCGGGGTTTTTGCACGGTTCCTGCGTAAACGGAATCGAGGAATTGTCGGGCCCCAGACCACTAAGCCATATTCGTGGTTTCAAATGAAAGTCAACTCAGAGATCTATGTGACGAGCCTTCAAGCACAGCTGTCGACTGCTAAGCGAATTAGCTATCCTGCATGTTATGCCCCATCGCTTACTCGCTTCACTTACTTAGCGCTAAACGAGTAAACCATGCACCCGTTTAATCTTGGTTTGCCAGCTGTGCACGCACCGAACGGGTTGACCTTGAAAATGCAGCGACTGATAGACCGAAAAGGCATCGATCGACACAATGGTTTGTGTCCACCAACCAACAGTTGACCCTTATTCCTCACCAAGGCTGACAGTAGCAGGTGACTTTCCTTCATGCCATAAGAATGTACGAACCGGAATCCGATGTGGAAACTGCCGAAACAAGTTCCATTCTAAATGTGCAAAGATCACAGTAAAACAGTTGAAAATAGATAATATTAAACCAGATTCTCTGTGGTTCTGTGAAGGAATGTACGGTTATCCCACTGGTGAAGATTTTGCAGGAACTAGCGCAGAAACAAGGAAGACTGGTGACAATCGTTGAAAAAATGAGGAAAACCCAAGTTGATTCATTTGAGGAACGTTTGACAGTGAGCAAACACCGGAACTTACCATTAGGCCCCGCTGCAAAGCAGTGGAAGAATGCTGGGCAGAGCAGCTATCCTGTTGTGGACACCGCGTCTTCGGAATTTGTCATGTTCCATCCGCATCTTCCCGGATATTCCGTGGGTGAGCACAAACAAGCGAAGCATGACTTGGAAAAACACCGAAAAGAATCCGTAGCTGGGACCATCCTTGTACACGGTGCTCCCGAGGCTGGAGGTCATGATGTGCACGAAGCGACTGTCCATGACCAAGAGCAGTGGCGATACTTTCGAGAGACAATGTCCCTGGAAAATGTGATCACACAATCGGACTCGAGGATTCACAGGTCGCTAAATTACAAAGGAACTGGCCCAAGGCTAGTGAAAGTGGTGCTTCAGTCCACGCAAATGTCAACTAGGGTGTTAGAGAGTTGGTATGCCGGTCGTAGCAGCCTTCCTTCCGAGCTCTAGATCAAAGCAGCTTCCCCTAATCAAACATACGAAAGCAGCCACTTAGTCGGACCACCTCCAGAATACAGTTTGGATAACGCCACTCAGATAGACAATGCAAATAGTAAACACACCCCATACGTTACATATAAGTGTGGATCATAGAGGTAATGGCAGGATCTCTGGATCTGGCACAGATGGGTTCATCATCATCCCACCCAAAAAACGATTAGTTGCCGATTTCTCAACGGTCGGCACAACATCATATCGAAAACGCACATCCCACGGTTCATTGCTAAGAACAGAGAAACTTGTCTGTATGTATGCCAATGCACAAGGGATACTGAGCAAGCTTGCCAAACTGCGGCTACGTCATGCATCATACGCCTGGGACCTCACATTCATAACATAAACTTGGCTGCATTCAGAAAACACCCGCTCTGAGGTCGCGATACATGGCATATCCCTCATTCGAAACGATGGCTCCTGTAAGGATGGTGGGATAATTTTATACTGTCGTTCTGATCTGCAGCGCGAACCGGCGGACGATGCGGAAACGCTGCCCAGAGACTCGCTCTGGTGCAGTTTGCGACTAAGGGGCAAAGACACTTGTCTTTTGGTGACTTCAACGTTCACGATGTGAAAGTTCCGGCTCCTTCCAACAAACAATTCAAGGCAGACCTGCAAGATCTTACTGCAGGCATTCCGATTTTTAGCCATGTCAGTTCGCCCACCAGATTCAGAAGGGGAAAGTAGCCAGCTGCGCTTGATTTAGTGTTTACGATGAACTCGTAATCGAGAAACCAAAGATGGAGAGTCTTCTTGGGTGGAGTGATCACGTAACCATACGTTACGACTATGTGTGCTATGCAGAATATCTACCAGAACATAGTGAGTTGTTTCAAACACTCACCCACTGCGATACAGAGAACTATTTGGGGTTGCCATTTGCTTCATCGATAATGCATGGACGGAGTTTGCTGAAAAGTTCAGTGATCTGACTAACTCTGCATCTGTAAACAGACCTATTCGTTCTACAAGAGCACGATCAATCATTAGGAGCAGAACCCGAAAACGCATGGCGTTAAGGGCCGCAGTGTGGTATGTGAATAGGGAAAACACTAACCCTGAGAACTGGAGCCACTATCTAGTGCATCGTAATTACTTTACGACAGTTTGACAGGTGGGCGAGAAAGCTGATTGCCAACGCGCACGTGTTCACCACAAATCGTACTTCGGACAGACTCCGCGAGCCTGTTCCCAGGGCCCAGACGAAAGCTGATGAAATCGCGCATCACACATCATGTGCGTTGCCATGCCCAGGGTAGGCGGATGAAGACTGGCGTGCCCGAGCAAGACGGCGAACTGGCCAGACGGTGCGGACAATCAAGTGTGGAGCGTAGGCTTACAGCCAAATCCGCCAGGTGGTGTTTAGAGGATTGGTGAAACCGACATATAAATATGAGCGTTCTCGGTCCTAATACAACTGGTCTGCTGAGTCTTCTGTGTTCCTTCCTGTCGGGTTTGCCAAGGTGTCAAACAGAGCAGGTGTAATGGCACAGATTTACCAGCAGGCGTGAGTCAACCAGTGGATTGTGGGTACAGCGTTATAATAGTGGCGACGCAAGTACAACCGAACCCAAAAATGGAAATAAGCTTTTAACACTTGCAGATGCTTTTGCAGCAACAACAGGCGCATTTTGAAGCATCTCAGGCAAAGCTGCTCGAGAAACTAACTCGAAGCTGACAGTACAGTCAAGCCCAGAGTTAGGGACAAGTGAAAGCGCTCGTTCACCAGAAACCCTGACTCAGAAGATCAGTGAGTTCCATTGTGACACTGATGCCTATATAACATTTGTTTCTTGGTTCCACAAATACGAAGACATGTTCCGAGTTGATTGTTCCAACCTTCCAGCGGAAAAGAAGATTCGACTAATGCTGCGGAAGCTGGGTGCTGCCGAACACGGGAAGTTCACCAATGTTCTCTTACCTAAAAAGAGTACCGATTTGTCGTTTGATGGAGTGGTTTTAGTCCTGTCGCATATTTTCGGAGAGCGGATATCTTTGTTCAACATCCGGTACAAGTGTCTGACAATAACAAAAAAAGAAGAGGAAGACTGGGTTGACTATTAAAGCCTTGTGAATCGAGAGTGCGAACGGTCACCACTAGATGGGATGACAAGTGATCAGTTTAAATGTCTCATATACCTTTGTGGCCTATAAGCATCCAAAGATGCCGACATTCGAACAAAAATTACTGTAACAGTTGAGCAGAATCCGGATGTCACATTGCAGCAAATGAACCACCAGTGCCAACGCAAGACGAATCTGAAGCACGATACGGCAATGATTCAGCAGTTATCCAATCAGAACGATCAAGATTTTGTCTGTGCAGTCAGCCGTACTCCCCAAAAAGCAGCTCCACACGTGAGTTCACCGCATTCTAAACCATCCTTTGCATGTTGGTTTTGTAGAGAATGGCATTTTGCCCGCGAGTGCACATTCAAAACTCACACTTGCAACCGTTGCGGCAGAAAAGGGCATAAGGAGTCATGTTGCCTGGCGAGTCGTCCAATTTTGACCAAGAAGATACGTAACAATGCCAGATCGTTCCGGCGTCCCAATTTGACCAAATCTATCACGGCAACTTCCAAGGTTGACGGGGCCAGCAAGCACAAATACACAATTGTGTAAAGCAATGGCTTCCAAGTCAAGTTAGAAATCGACACGTCTTCAGATATCACCCTGATATCTCGCGACATTTGGTGCATGCTGGGGCGACCAACACTCATACAAACGGACCACACGGCACGGAATGCTTCAGGAGGTAGGTTAAAATTGCTTGGTGAACTGAATTGTCAGGTACACTGTCACGATTAACAGATCCAATCGACATGTTTCGTGACAGATCAGCCGGGGTTAGATTTGTTGCGGCTCGACTGGATGGATGCACTGAAACTGCTTGAGCAATCAGTGAACAGTATATGTCAGCCACCGCAAGTCAATCTGCTGTCGCAACCGTTGACTTCAGGTCCGTTGTTTCAGAGTCCGATTACTGAGATAAAACGGCGTCTTGAGGTATTCTTCCAATCTGGTATCCGATGCTGCATCATAGCTACTACCGCATTGAATCTTAAACCAGAAGTCAAGCCAGTCTTTAGACGAAGACACCCGGTGCCCTACGCAACCCTGTCCTTAGTGGAAGCCGAGTTAAACCGACTACAAGCTGAAGGGATAATCGAAAGAATTCACTATTCAGAATGGGCAGCACCTATCGTGGCGATAAAGTCCATATTTGTGGTGATTTCTCGACAGGTTTGCATTCTGTGTTGGACGATCATCAGCATCCCCTGCCGATACCAGAAGACTTGTTCAGCAAACTCAATGGGGGAAATGTTTCGCAAAACTTGACATAACTGAGGCGTATCTGCAAATCGCGGTTGCCCATCAGTGCAGAACATTACCGACAGTAAATACCCACCCGGACTTTTTCAGTACAACCGGCTGCCGTTCGGAGTGAAAACCGCACCCGGCCATTTTCAACAAATAATGGATACCCTGCTGAGCGATATCCCAAATACAGCAGTATACCTAGACGATGCGTTGATCATGGGCTCGGATCAGCAAGACTTGATACAGACACTGGAGAGAGTGCTTTCGCGCCTTCAAGAAGTTGGATTCCGATTACGGGCTGAAAAATGCGAGTTTCTATTCGAAAGTGTCAAATTTCTTGGGGTTATCATCGACAAACAAGGCCGGCTCCCGGATCTTGCCAATATGGAAGCCATCAAAAAATGAAGCGCCAGAAGACATTGCACAGCCCCGCTCGTTCCTTGGGATCGTTAGCCATTATAGCACTTTCCTACCAGGCCTTCACTAAACCAGAAGTCCGCTGAACCAGCTACTGACACAAGACGAGGGTTGGAAATGGACGAAGGAGTGCCGGCAGTCTTTTGAAGCAGGCAAAGCAGCTCTCACTTATCTGCTCTGCTCTTGACACACTTCAATCCAAATTTTAAACCTGTCGTTGCCACAGATGCTTCCAATTATGATGTCGGTGCAGTTATCTCCCAGGTTTTTCCGCATGGAGGAGAGAAGGCTATCGCGTACGCAGCACGGTCACTAACGGCAGCTGAAAAGAACTACAGCCAGATAGAGAAGGAAGCGCTCGCGATCGTTTTCGCCATGAAAAGGTTCCATAAGATGCTGTATGGCAGACATTTTATGCTCCTGACTGACCACAAGCCACTTCTGTCGACATTCGGGCCAAAGAAAGGAATTCCAGTTTTTACGGCAAACCGATTGCAACAATGGGCGACCATACTACTGGCCTACGACTTCAGTATACAGTATAAGCCTACGCAACTAATAGGTAAAGCGCATGCACTGTCTCTTTTTATCAATTCACACCCAAAGGAGAATGATGATTATGCGGCTGCAGCTTTCAGTTTCGAATCAGAAGTCCAACGAATCCTGGCTGATAGTGTGAGAAGACTACCGGTAACTGCCGAACCCATTCGTATGGAGACATCACGGGACAGAATCTTGGAGAAAGCGATGCAGTGCGAATGAACATGTTGGCCAAATGGAGGCATGCCCATGGAGTTGCGGCCGTTATGCAATCGACGTGGATCTCTGTCAGACGTGGACCATTGTCTGATGTTTGGAGATCGAGTGGTGGTGCCAACAAAATTTCAGA